TACAAGGTTGCCAGTATTGACTTGTTTAAACTAGTATTAAATAAACTAAGAAAATGCGTAGTTTTTTCATTTCCTTTAATTATTTGTTACCTTAAAGATCATATTTATTTGATTGGCGTTTATATTCAAACCTATGAACACTATGAAATTCGTTGACGAAAATTATAAATTTGTTCAAAAGTGTGCAAACCCACTGGCAGCTGGCGATATTTCGCCGCTCACAGTAGCGTCGATAACTCGTGTTTGCATCTCACTCTTCCAGTCGGCTGTTATGGACGGATGGTATTGTAAGTAAAATGGGTAGTTGCAGCATAAGATATTTTCCTGAGCTAGTTTTCTCACTTCTTTCTTTTCCTTTCTATACATTTGATAATGCTTTCTCTAAATGAGTTCTCTGTAAATTTCAAACTGGTATTTTGTTTTGAATGCTTCTCTATTTTCCATAAATTGCAGCAATGTGCAGAAAAAAGTCAGGAGAATATTTCAAATTAACATTTTTTTACAATCGTAATTTTTTAAAAACCGATATAAAATAAATTTAATAGCAATAATAATAAGATTAAGTTTAAAAATATTTCGCTATTACGCTTTGTGGGAAGCTAAGCTTCTGCTTCCAATATAAAATTTCGTAATTATGAATTTAAAAAAGGATGCACTAACGACAAGACCAATTGATTAACCAATGATATTTTTGCTGCCATTAAAATATGTATATAAGTAGAAATTAAAAGCATAAGCATCAGCTATTATATTATCTTAAAAAGTGAAACTGTCTCATGCCTTTAAGGCAACATCAAGAAAAACTCAAAGATCGATTATAGAATTTCTTTATTTATTTTATGTAATCTTTAATGGAATTATTATTATTAAGTTTTTAACATTTTTTGTTTTTTATTTTTTTTTTTAATTTGAAAGTGTTTTGAGTTTCATTTAATTATTCAGTATAATTCATGTGGTGTACGTGCATGCTTTAGTCCAGTAGTTGGTTGGTAAAATTACAGAAGTTTTGGAAGAACAGGAAGTCTGTAGGATAGACATTGCATAGGAATTTTCTATCCTTTGTATTCCTCATCCCAAAGTGAATTCATAGATGGTGAGGTTAACCCACTAGATAAATTCTTGCGATCTTTTCAAATCGACAAATATGTAAATACAAACAGATGTTAGCAATATTGTTATAAAATCAGATTATGATTTTTTACTTGCAATCTGAATACAAGAAGTTATTATTTTTAAAATTTTGCTTAGAAGTAATTTCAATGAATTTGCATTATGCTTGGGAAGCCATGCAATGAGAACGACACGAGCAAATTGTCAGTCATGCCTGCTTTCCTCCCAGGAATATTGCCAACATAGAGTTAAGGGAAAGTAATTGATTCTTAGAAATTTGTACCATAAACTCTCTGGACTATACATAAAATGTGTATGTGAATTTGTATATGATTTTTTTTACTTAATGCGCTTAAATGCATAACTGACTTTTCATTTCACAATCATTAACGTTATTTATTGGTCTTACACTAATTTTTTTTTATTTTTTCTTATTATATTTATGTGAAATTTTCTAATATAATAAAAGTATTTTTAATATAAATAAATATGGGATAAATAAATTTATCTTGATTTTAAACTATTACTCACAAAATTCATGGGTTAAGTATACTTATTGGTATTTAGCACATTTCTTTAACATTTGGCACAGTCCTTACAGTGAACATAGTCATATGTTTTTGATTAAACGATTTTGATAACTGTAAATTTTCTTACAATTTAACTCTTATTCAAAAAAATATTCAACGGCTTATATAATAAATAAGAATGCATTTTCTTCATTAAATTCGCTATATAGGCGGAAATGCTCTCATTGCCACAACAAGGTTATTCAAAAACACTAATCACATCAAACTAAACATGTAAACTCGTTTCGTCATTAATAAGCCATCTATATCCGCCTTATGCATCAAATCCTACCAATTTGAGCATTTCGAGCTTTTTGAACGGATCGAACATATATGTTTTTCCCAGTTGCTCGAACTGCTTGTTAGCAGAGGTTTTGATAAAAAAATGTGGAATTATTATAATACAAAAAAAAGTTCAGATATTTTGAATTTGATTTATAAAAAATAAAAGTGCAGCATTCTATAATAAAGAAATAAAAGTAGATGTAGTGTCAAAAATTATTAAGCGCCAATTTTATATTAAAATAAACTAGGCAATATTAAAATATAACGAATGATATACATATATAATATTTTGGTAAGTAATAGTTATACTAAATAACAATGATTGGCGTATTGTAACCACTTAAAGCAATTTTCGTTCGGTTTTCTCCTTCAATTTGTAGTATTCATCAAAATTTTTTTTCTTGTTCAAAAAATGGTCCCTCCATTTTTTACAGTTCATACTAAGCCACCTCCGAACGACTGAAGGATTTTAATGAGAAGCTTTTTATTTCATGTTAAGAAAACACTGACCGGAATTAGACAAATTATTCCTTTTAGTTATTTATATTATTTTTCTGTAATCTTAAATGTTCGTCAGACCAGGAAACGATCCTTGGCCCGCCGAATGGTAGTACACATTGCCCACCACTCTCCTAGTGGTTAAAAGTAACAAAAAACGAAAACAATCTTTATAATACCTGATCATGTCCCTACTCTTTCTCAAATAAAAAATAATACGAGTATATAACCATTCAAAATAACAACAAATTTAAGAATCATAAAATCGTCGCAGGAAATTCGTTTTGTTTGAGAAGTTGCGACATTAATATATCAAAGTTTTAGAACTACTCAGCTTATATAATGCTTACATAGTAGTTATAGACAAATTAAATATAATTCTTAGGTTAGTCAATGCCACTTTCACATTAACATCACATTAAGGGAAAACTGTAATTTTAACATATGTATATTAGGTCTGCCGAAAAGCTCTGTCCGAATCTATAACATTATTTCCGCCACGGCTGCTGGCGTAGCAATTAAACTATAATATGTTTCTGTTAGGTTTACAGAAAATTAAAGGCAAGCAGAATATTAAACGATTCAGATTCGAGAGATCATTGCCGAAACATTACCTTTGAATTTAAGAATTTTCAGATAAATTTATATTTTACGATAAATTGTAAATACTGGAATTACATATGTTTTTTCCATACATATACACGGTGTGTCCCAAAAATAACCAAACTTTATATTTAAATCATACAACATACAGCGCCATCTATTGAAAATTAGCAACATTAAAAAGATACATTCATCCTCTTTCAAACGCACCTAACATCATGTAAGTCGGATGACAGATGTAAAAGTGACAGCCATTTCAATAAAACCAAAAGTGTGCCAATGGTTCAAAAATAAAATGAAACAAAGAGCAAATATAAAATTTTGTGTCAAACTTGAAAAAAAAATTAATGAAAAAAGTTTATTGTGATGATTGTATGAGTCGTACGCAAGTTTATACGTGGTTTACACGATTTAAAAATGGTCGTGAGGATTTAAATGACGACCCTAGAGCAGGACGTCCAGAAACTAGTAATCGCGCTGAACTGGTGGAAAAAGTCCGTGAAATCATTGGTATCGCTGCAAATTTTACTACGAGAATGTTGGCTGGGGGATTGAAAATGAGTAAAAACACTATTTGGAGAATTTCAACTGAAGATTTGGGGAAAAGAAAGGTCTGTGCGCGATTTGTTCCACATGAATTAAATGCCGACTGCTCGAATTTTCAATGAAAAAAGGGAATTCTCTCATCGACCATCTTTCGTATTCGCCTGATCTATCACCATATAACTATTTTTTATTTTCAAAACTGAAAACCAAGATGAAGGGAGCATTTTATGATGACATCCCAGCCATTCTATAAATGACATAAAAAATATATGCATGGGCTGGTTGATCGTTCCAAACGTAGTGTTGAGTCAGATGGAACCTATTTTGAATAAATAATAACTTTCAAAGATAATATAATGTGTATTTTATTTTATATCCAAAAAGTTCGGTTATTTTTGGGACACACCGCGTACGTAATTAAAAGAGTACTGAGTAATAAAAAAAAAGTTTTCATCTACAAAGACAAATAGTATTTCATATTATACAATTTAGTCATTAATTTTTATTTTAATGTCGTGCGACGATTATTGTAAACTTTTGTGTGAGCAGTAACACCTCTAAGGACTATTATATTAAACGAAAAGCATTAACGTAGCTATTGCACAGTTCTGTTTACTTTGCTTTTTTAATTTAAGTCACAGGTCAAAATGATTTCTTTGTTTAAAATAATTTCTATACTTATAATAAATTAAATTTAGGAACAAAATTTAGAATCACGCAGTTTCAGACTTCTCACAGAGTATCCTTGGTATGAAAAATAAAAACACAGAGCATACTTGACGCCATAAAGTGGTGCTACAAGTAAATTAGGTCATAACCACACTTAGAGGGTATTATCTAGTGAGCACTAAATTATATACGGTAAACGAACTTTGGCACGTTTTTGTTAAATCATCATTATCACTAATCACTAAGTTTGACATCTCAGATTTCTTTATGACTTTTGTACGGATGTATGTAGAATTTGACATTATATTTTGCGAAATGAAATAAATACAATATGTACGTAATTAGAGAAATGATAGCAAAGAAGAACCAATTGAAATGAATTCAGAGTATTCGTCTTTTAAAAAGCTTTTGCAGCAATTTGTAAAATACAACATTTAATATACGTGTGTGTAAGTGAGGCATTTCATAAAGATATAATCGCCGTAACAACTATCAGTCATATATGTGTACTTATGGCGTATATAGTTTAAACGAAATAATGAAAGTTGAAATTTAGTTATTTAAAATCATTAATTTTTTAACGTGAAAATCCGAACTTAATATTACGTCTTTGGCAATGGAAATTGAAATCATCATTTCATTTTCATTTTCTTTTTTATTCTTTTTATTTGTGTAGCAATTATTATAGGATTGAATTATTTGTTTTTTAAATTAGGGAAATAACTTCATTTTTGTTATTTTTCATTTTTTATTATCTTAAAAGTGAATGACTTTTGTAGTATGCATGCAAGTTTGTGTATTTATGTGTATGTAATTTTGTTGCTATATATGCATCACTTAATAAGATATTATTTTTATTTCACGCGAAATTTCCTCAAGTTGCTGTTTTTGATTCATAATTATTATTCGATGAGTAAACAGTGCATTAAATGTAACATTTTTTTATATTATATATTAATACAATATATGTATGTATTATAAGTATTGCTATTACCAAGCAATTATAATAAATAATCTCAACCTTTAACTAACAACAGATTATTTTTAATACTGCTTATAGAACTACGTATCGTTTTTCAAAAAAGTCAAATATTATTTTTAAAAATTTTTAGTCATTTTAAAATCAGGCAAATAAGGGCTTTTTTTGATTAAAACTTTTATTTTGTTTTGCTAATTAGATATTTAAAATTATTTCGTTTATCATGTTTCTTTATACTTTATGGGGATTTGTCGAAAGCAAAATGGCTGCAGCAGTTCACACCATAAATCAGTCTCAATTGAATATAAGATGATTCGGAGAGTTTTAGTAAATATGTATACATATATTTTAGTAACAATTTCGGATTCGACATTAACGGATCTAACAACATGCTGAACATCAGACTTAAGGAATTGTGCTGGGAACGTGCTAATTTCACTTCTCTCTTCCAATATACGAGTATTATATGTATGTATGTATATGTAAGTTTTGATTACTATGCCATCTACACAATTTTTTCTACTAAATGTAAGTGTAAGTCTACAAGATTGTTATACCATTTTATTCAGCATTCTTTCTATGTCATTTCCTACACATTAGACTACTGGTCTATATTGTTTCCTTACTGATCGCTTAAATCATCCGAATCATCAAACTTAGGCGGCGGATCGACACGTATATCCAATCCGCATGCAAAGCGTTCGTACTCAATCGGTTCATTTTCATAGTCTGATAGAAAATCTGGATATGGCAACTCTATATCGCCTCCGAATCTTGAATGAGTGATATTATCCGAACGCCTTATAGTTCCCGACGCCTGTGCAAATCCACTGCTTTCTTCGCTCGAATTTGCCAAGTCGTCAGAAAATCCAGATTTACTTTCAGCTCCACTCTCATCTGGCGTAACTAATGAACGGATGTGAGAGTGTTCTGTAGAATGTGTAACTCCAGATTTTTCTCCAGAACCCTCACTAGTTATTGATCCCTCGCGTTTCAGTTGACGTTTCTTGGTACGAATTGGTTTTACCGGTTGACCATTAGGGGGCGGCATTGGATGATTTGCAGGTGCTGGCTTTGAAGCGATGCTGTGACTGATCATTGGTTGCATTAGTTGTGGTTGATACATGGGATTAGTGATATGACCCAAACGGTCATAACGTGGAAAGCCCATTTCATCTACATTATCTGTCATATCTAGGCTTTCAAACTTGCTTGATGATGCGTACGATGCCTTAGAATATTGTGGGTAGTCATCATATTCATCTGTTTCGGGTTCATGTTCTAATTCTTCGTCGAATTCTAAATACTGATCTTCGGGTCTATATGAGGGATCGGAACTGCCAGAATCAATTTCTGGCAAGTATCCTTCTGAACATTCTGAGCTTTCTTGTTCCATTAACGCGCGGTCCGCTGAACGTGTCCGTTTGGTCGGAACTTGTCGTTTGCGACGATAACCTTTACTACGTAATTTGGGATCTTGTGTACGTATATCCATAGAGCTGTCTGTGTCATTGCCACTTGGTGGACTTTTTATCACCGTGTTGCGTGTAATTGAATTTTTTCTTGGTGGTTTCTGTATCAATTGGTTAGGTGGCGATTCAGAGCTTAGACTGCTTGAGTAATATGGTGAGCATTTAACAAGCTTTTCAGCTCGTAGGGGCAACATTGGTGATGATGTTTCCGTACTTGTAGTTGTCTCACTGTAATTAGTGGCTGTTGTGGTGGCTGACGACACCCCGTTGCCACCTCCACCTAACGACAACTCCTCATCAATACGTGGTGGCATTGACTCCTGTGAAGATTCTTGTGATTTTGAGAGCATATGCTCGTGAAAGGAGTTAGATTGGCGAAGTTTATTAGTTTTGTATTCTCGTATTTGTGACTTTGATAAGGTTTTGTCGTCATAACTGTGGTGTTTAGCGAGTGGTTTTTCGGGAAGTTGCCCTACCGAATGCGTTCGTGGGAAATTATTTGGTGATGTAATGGGTGGTATGTTGGGTATAGCCGATGAAGGTCCCTTTGCGGAGATACTTGCTTGAGATGATGTCGAGGCTTCAGATGCTGATGCCGATGCCGAGACGGAAGTTTCCTCAGCTTTACTAACAGCTTTCATATGTTTCAATAAGGCTTGCATAAGTGGTCGTGTTACAACTTGAGGTTTGGGTTTTGTTGGGGGTTGCGGAGCTCTTGGCTTTATTGGTGGAGCCGGAGCCTTAGATTTTTGTGCTTGAATATTAAGCTGTTGGACTTGGGTGTGCCCATGTAATGGAACGAACTCCTGACTTTGATATCGTTCAGTTAATTTTTCGCTAGGCGAATATAAACGCTCTACGAAAGGAGCCTCACTTTCTGATGAAAGTTCCTGGCTTTGATAAAGTTTCGACATCATTTCCAGTGAACGACGCTTTCGTGCTGCGGTGGTGTTTTCTCCACCGCAGTTCTTTTCGTCCAATTTATTCAATCGGGATAGTGAGCTTTGCCTTCCATTGTCCCCTAATTTTGGAGGTGAAATCTTTTGGCTGCCTTCTTCACCACTTGTTCGGCCATTGTTGCCATTACTAGCACTTCTTCGATGTACTTGTGGAATAGCTGTGCGCAGCTCTTCGCTTGGTGATTTTTTTGATGCGCCTCTGGGCTGTTTCAGAGGTACATAGTCAATGTAGCTGCTCCGTCTGGTGCCCCTTGGATCCTGTGTATTTTCGCCAGGTTGAGTGCCTACTAAAGTGCGACTACTTGATGTTGACCATTCGGTCATCGTTTGCGCCATTTCTGTTAATGTCAACGTCGTATCATCACTTTTGGTTGCGGAGTTAGCATCAGATATTTTTTCAGTTTCCGAATTTGAAAGTATATCATATCTCATGCCGTCAGATGAACCATTATCACCAGACAACCCCTTTGAAAAGCTTCCACTTTGTTCATTCAAACTCTCTGCAGATTTGTTTATTGAGCTCATGCTGGATTTTGTATGATTCGACTTTTCACTCTTGGCACACGATTGGGTGGATACCGCCGATAGACTATCCGACCCAGAAAGATTCGCATACTGACGTACAGTGTTAGTACCAGTGGACCACTCGGAAATACTCAGTCCAATCGAGGTATCTTCTGAATGAGAGCTGTGTGTACATTTCTTTTGTTGTAAACCCATGCGCACCGTTCCATCCAAGTCAGTGCCGATTGAACTGGTCTCTTCCTCTGAATGACTGGAATGGCTGCATTTTTTACAAGATCCTGTACTGAGACGTGATTCGAAATTACGGCGGACGGTGGTCTGGTCCTCCATAAATGTGCCAGAAGTTGACAAAATATCATCAATGGAGGTATCTGAATTATTTGATCCTCTCGACAATTTTCTTAAATATTCCGTAGTACGGCTTTCATCCGACGAAAGTTGGATTTTAACAGTGCCCGGCATGAATACATCGTCACTTGAAAAAACTTCATCTTCCGAGATCGGACTTCGAATTGTTGGCGAGCGTGTTGGTTGGGATATGATTACCGAATCAGGGCTGGAATCTTTCCGTAGTGGAGAGATTTGAGTGGATTTTTGAGAGGATGAGCAAGTTATATTAAATGAAGTGGAAAGACACGAAGCTGCACTTAAGGTTGAACTCATACATGTCGGTGTATCCTGTTGGGTATCCTCATTGCCAAATTCTTTATCTTCAAAAGCTGAAGACATTAAATACGCCGTATCCTCATAAGCTAAAATTTTAGCTGCATCTGGAGGCGTTATTGGAAACTCTTCAGAGGAGAGCCTATCATCGGCCTGGGACTGCACGTCATCGTCTGTCTTATCAGTGGCTGTGAAAGACTCAACCATTATTTGATCAGCACTCTGTGCTTCTGTGGCATAATAAGTTTCAATATCATCAATTATTAAGCATGGTTCTATGGCACTAGCCGGTGGAGAGGGCCATTCTTGCGAGTCTTGTGACTGAAATGATTTACTGGCTTTCCAACAAAAAGATTTCGGTACAGGTTTATCTAGATCGGGCATCTGATAAATTGATTCTACCGGTTTTACGGGCACATGGTCAAAGGGTATTTCCGGAAGTGGCCAATCTTCCGAATCCTGACTTCCGGCATTTGAAAGACACATCAATGTATGCCTATCTACATCATCACCCTGTTGTTCTTCGACCTGAGTAACAGAAAAACGCCCAGTTACAACTATCGGAGACTTCGGTTCATTTAAACTGCCAATACTCGAAAGACGGTCACCTGTGGCAGAGTCGCAGGGAATTTCCGGCATTTCGGCAGATGTTCGTCGATCTGCATCTGATATATAAGCCAAATTTGTATTACTTCGCGAATCGGAACTCAAGCTAGGTTGGTGGTCAGTGGATCCCACAGATTCGTCTCGCATGCTTACACTATGAGTAGAGGCTTTGCTGACATCGTCCTCCATGCTTGACTTTTCAGATGCTGTACTTCGTTCTGATATCCGTGACAAAGTTCGCCCCAAAGTAAAACCTGTGGCATAACCAATAATATCAGTAGGATTTACCCCAATACCACTTAGTGAGCTAGTCATCGCAGGGTAGCCAAAAGTTGTTGGAAAATCATTTAATTCATCTTGAAAGCTTGTGTCACTTTCCTTTTGATCATCTGGTGATACTTCTTTCAAATCACTGTCAGAGGAATCACGTAGGGGATTGTTGGCATCGTAGCGCTCATAACCGTCGGTTTCAATGTGGTGCCAAGGATCATCTGTACTAGAGCTTCCTGAACTTTCTATTGGAAATGCTTTCCATGTTGTTTGCTGTTCCTTTTGTAGCAATTCTCCCCTTCTCTGAGCCGCGCCCATTGAACCAGAACTGCTTTCGGTTTCAAATGATCCTCGCGACTCAACACTTAAGGAACCTTTCGAATCGAAACTAGATTTTGATTCCTGTGAACTACTACCAGATTTTCCAGCCTTATCAGTGCCATCAGTTTTAACTACCGCCAACTTTTTACCCGCATTAGCACGTGCGGGTTTCTCAATTTTTGGTGGCTTTTTTGAAGCACCCGAACTAGATTCACTATCGTCGTTTCGTTGTAGAAGTTTTATCAACTTTTCATCGATAGGATCCAAAAACGATTCTGTGCTGATGCCAAGATCTATTGGACTTTGTTTCTCTAAAGTTGGTGTTGTTGGTTTTTTTGCTATTACCTTTGATTCATTGGTAGGCGTGGCCTCATTCGAAGCTGCGGAGCTTGTTTTCATTGGCACAACTGCTTCTGCGGCATCCGCTCCATTACCAACATCTAATTTTAGCATTCTTTGTTTAAGTTCTTGGCATTTCTTCTCTTCGATGTCACCAAAATCTTGGGAAATCCCTAACGGTCTGGCGATTGAACAACTTACACTCGACTCTTCATCCATGGAGCTTTTCTCCCTTCCACCACTTACTGATAAACTCCAATCATGATGATGCTCACCACGATGAGGGCTAACATCTTTTTCCCCACTCGTCCAGGAATCAGAACTTTTTGATTTGTCGCTTTGCTTCTCCAAAGTATGTTTCTTTTTTATTTCGGATGTTTCAGCTTGCTTTTCAAACGTTTCTAGAACAGATTTTTCTATCATTGGACTTGTATTAGGGGGTGTTACTAAGATATTTAGATCAGATGTCGGTGTGGCACAATTAGAGTACTCTAACGGAATTGCATCCTCCAAAGTAGCTTGAGTCTCTAATATATTACGATCTGGCTCTAAAGTACGGGGCTCATTGTCTGATGTATCAGACCCGACAAATTCATCACATTCAACTGTCATCCATGAACCTGTCTCATCGCTGCGACTACGATCTAAGCTCAGACGATTTGTATCCTGACGAGAGACTTTCAAATGCCGACATTCTGCCGAATTGTCATCTTCCTCAATAGAGGGCTCTTCGCACTCAATAGTTGGTACGCGGTGTGGATATACCTCCGGTGGTACCGGAGATTTGCTCGCAGGTGAGTGACTGTCGTCTGCCGACACAAATGATTCCAAACTTTCTGCCGTCGACGGTTTGCGACTGTAAGTACCTTCACTTTCTTTTGTATCCTCAGAAGGCAAGGACCGTTTTAAAATTTCTAATGAACGTCTCTCCGAAATAACCGCCTGCATGTCTATATCTTCGTGCACATTGTATTGATGGGCAAACATTCGTCGATCCCCAATAGCACTTCGTGTAGAAGACTTTTCCTCGACCTTCTTTGGTTCAGCAGCTGTCGAAGGCTTCTTGTCATCGAGACTCTTTGCTTTTATATCAGTCCCTAAGTAATGATGTTCAGATGGTTTCTCCAAACTACTAGATTTTCCATCGATTTTCTTATGTACAACACTACCTTCAATTTTTTGTTTAATTTCCTGGCTTTTCGCAATTTTCTTTGGTGATTTAATAACCATATCTTCCGGAGCATCTGATTTCTCTGATTCTTCAAAAGATTTATTTCGATCTTCGAAACTTCGATTTGCTTTATCCAACTTATCTGGACTACGTCCCTCGTCGAAACTACGACTAAATTTGACCAAAGAGGTATCCAGCTTTCTAGGCGACTTTGCTATTAAAACATGATCCTCTGCTTTGCTTTTAAATTCCGTTTCAATTATAATTTTATCACCATCTGTCTTCACTGATATTTTGTCTTCAGGTGCGGGGAACGGGGGTAATGAATCTTTGACAGGACTAAGCATGGTTATTGTTTGTTTCATGGCCGACTCATATAATTTTTGTTGGCGTTCTTTACGTTTGGCAATGTCTGCTTCTGTTTCCTCTTGGGACTTACTTTTATCCTTGCTCAATCGACGTGCTTCAATAGAACGTGGTCGCTCTTTGGGACTCGATTTCTTGCTCTTACTATCCTTTGCTTTTATATCATCTGCACTGGTGCGTCGAGATTCTGGCCGACTTCGCGAGATTCCCGTCTTTACTTTCATACTTTCTGGCGATTTTGGTCCAATTTTGAGTTTACCTTTGCCAGTACTCTCTATGCTACTGGCTCTGGAAACTCCCGGCGATGTTTTGCGGGAGCTGTTTGCAGAGCTATATGGAGACCAGTCGGTAAAACGATATTTAGGAATGTCCAAAATTAAGTGATCTCCGCTTCTCAGCTTCATCTTAGACTTTTTCTTGGTCTTGATTTTAACACCCTGTAATGCAATTTTCTCAATAAACTTCAGCTGATCCAACAATTGCATCTCCTCATCATCAATGGCAACTGTATTAAGTAGGGAATCCTTTCCGGCAATCTGATAGCTTGTCTGTGTGGGAATAGAACCTGCGCAAGAGTGCACGCTATCCGCAGTATCCTCATCCTGCTGAGTGCAAGTCTCACGTTCGAGGGTTTTTTCCTCCAGTATTTCGGCTTCTTCTTCAAATCCAACAGTATCATCTTTGGATGAAAATGCGTTCATTGGTGGAAGTCGATGTAAGGATATTACTGGAGTATCTAAGCTCTTGGTGCGTCTCTCAGTACTAGGTGACTCTTGGGTGGCTTTTTGTCGTTGAAGCGAAACGGAACCTTCAGACAAATTTAGACGAGCATGTGCGAAAAGTATCGGAGCATGACCTTTTGAACGCATTACTAATGACGAGTCTATAATTTCTTCGATAAATTTTGCTTTTGATTTCGGCACTTCAGTGCGTGGCGAAGATTTCTTCTTAAGTGTGTAATCAATATCGGATTCGGTTATTTTTTCTTCTTGGCAAGTTTCATAAATATCATCATTACTACGAAAGAACTCTGCATATTCCAAGATAGGCGACGGAATATTCTCGTTGCGTTGGTAATCATTTGTACACTCATCCATGCGTCTTGACGGAACGTGCAATGGCTCGTCTTCAGAGGACGGAATAGAGATCGATCGTTCGGAAATTCTTCTCAATTCCGACGTATTAGCGTATTGAGGATCCAGTTTTTGAGTGTGATAACGGCTTTCTAGTTCGGCAAGCCGACGACACTGTGGCGGTGATCCCTCAATTTCCGTTGAGCTCATAGTCTGGCCTCTACCCCATGCCGCCGATATCAAACGGCTCTGTTCTATGCGCAGTATTGGCTCGATTTCTTTACGTGACTGAGGAGGTGAAAACTCCAATCGCGCTGGTATAGCTTCAGCTGAACCAAAAACATCGTCAGAATCCAGACTTTCATCATCGGAGGAAAAAGATGTTATACGAGTTTTAGCTTTCTTAGGTTTATTTGATATTTTGGTTTTTGGTATAACGCGTGGTTTTGCAACTTTTCTTGTATTGGCTTGTAGTTCTTTGCGAAGATTCTGGATTAGTTCGATTTGCTTTTGTTCAAGTTTATTTTTTTGATGTTGCAGACTCTCAGTGCGAGATGAAGTTGCAGAGTCACTTTCTATTTGGCTGAGTTTTTTATTTAGCTTCTCCAATAGTGATGGATCCATTTGCTTTGTAATATCCCGTTTTGGAGAAGATAACTCAATAGTCGGTATGGACTTATTAACTTCCAATGTTATGGGGTCAACTTTGGAAAGATCGATATTTTGCGTAAAAAGAAATTCTTTAGTTTCTGCTGGCAATAAACTGTCCAATAAATCTGGCAAGAAGTCTGCAACTTGACTACCAGAGCTTGGAGCTGCTGCCGCATCTGTCTTCGGCGATTTCGGAGACTTCGGTGATTTTGGCGACTTAGGAGATTTCGGAGACTTTGGTTTAGTATGCTTCTTCTCACCAAGCGACGGAGCTGTCCCATTCATCACATGTCTCTTATGTAAAACGTATGGTATATCATCTTTCAACACTTTTGGAAAACGTCTATCATACTCTCTGAAGAAGCTCTTTGGTAATTCGAAACCAGTTTTCGGTATGTCAACTATAACTGGCGGTGTCTCAAAGCACTTTGGAATTTCAAAATTGCCGTGCGCTTTGCAGAGTGGCGGAGCGCTTGGTATTTGTTTGTAAATATAATCTTCATCACTTGAATCAGCTGGTGTTAAGTCTATAGACTTTTGATGCATCAAAACATGACGCCGAGAGTTACTGCCGAGACGCGCACGATTAGCCAGAGAGTTGGGGTCACTTTTGGTTCGCTCAACTGTTGCATGTGCATAGTTGAGGGGAGTCATGATCGGATTGTATTCTTCGAAATGAGTTTTGGCCATTAATTCTTCTTTACGCGTCACTTTTTGTTTTGCAGCACGAGCTTGTTGTTTTTCAAATTCGGAAATTAGTTCCGGCGTTAATGGGTAGTCGGGGCTTTGTTTAGGCTTCTCCTCTTTGCTTTGCACCTCCCACTGTTTTGTGTAATTCTGAATACACTCGATGCGATCCTGGTCAAAACTGAATATATTCTCACTATCTGATCGGCGACGAAAAGCAGAAATTTTAGAAGACTGTGAATCGACTTTTTTAATTGGTGCCGTTTGATCGATAGAGTCGTTTGTTTGGATTTCTTTTTCTTTACATTTCTTTCCCGATGCTGGTGTCGAAACTGCGGCATCTGGTGATTTTCCTCCAAATGATTTCGTATTTCTTTCGATCTCAACATTTTGCAGACTAATCGAATGCACTTTGGAAGTTTTGTGCGATTTATTACTCGGAAACGTTGAATAAGTGTCACGGCTGTCGTAAAACGAACTATTCGCTGTTGAACTATGTGTATCGGACAGCAGGCAGTCATGACTCTTTACCTTCGGTCGGCCACAAAGGCTATCCGTTTCTACGCCCTCTACTGCATCGTAATAGTCGCTCTTTGATTCCTGACTCGATTGTTGATACTTTTCATATTGATCTTTTTTATTTAAATGCTTGAGCTTTTTACCTGTGGTTGTTGGCATTTCGTAGTTACGGCCGAAACAGTCACCTACAAGTGATTCTTTTGAATCTTGACTAGAAGCCACTGAAGTCTTACTCTTGGTTGTTTCCCGCGACTTTTTGCTGTCAGTGTGATACAAACTGTCACGTGACTTCTTGCTGGAGTCTGAACTTCGCGATATTTTCGTCTCAAACACTTCGCTGCGACTTTCTTGACTTGAGGTCCGCGAGAGAGCTTCTTTGACTTTTTTATAAAAACTACCATCGGATTTCACGCATAACTTTTCACGTGGCAAGTATCGTGGATCTTCCGAATCCCAAATCTCATTCATGATATCCACGGCAGATTTACATTTCACATCCATTGCCGATCGATATTTATACTGTTCTGAAACGGATTCATCGTCACTGGGTATATAATTGCCGGAATCAAGCGAACAAGAACGCATATGGTCATCTGATCGCCGACGGCCACTGAAGAAATCAATGTCATATTTCTCGAGTAACTCATAGCTATCCTGTGAGATGTCATCTTGAGAACCGGCGTAATCCACGTGACGTCCGTAGCCACCACGTTTGTGTTGACTGTCTTGGGCATTGTATGTGCTGCCAGGATAACTTGAGGAATATACTTTGGAATCGGGTAAAGGGGAAAAGTCTTGTGTTGCATCAATTGAATGATTTTTAGTAATATACATTGAATGCCTCGAATCATCGTAACGTGTAACGGGAGAATCAATACGATTAAACGAGAGGAACTCCTTGTCGAAAGCAGTCATTGGTTTTGACTTTTCACTTTCATAAAATGAAGAAAAATCATAAAGATCTTTACAAGAACTGCTCTTCAACCAGGACTCCTTCTCAACTTGGTCGTAAATGTTCTCCTCTTCATATGGCTCTTTATTGTAATGTACAGCGGAATACAAATTACCGGATGATATTTCGAACTCAAGTTTCTCCGAAGAAGTCTTAAAACGATTCAAGGGTGAACCAGTTGCACTTTGTTCTTCTGCGGAGCTTAAAGGCTTGCTGTCATTGAATACTAAGCATCTATTAGTTATGTTGGCGTTGGGACGCAAGTTGCCGATCGAGTGGGCATGATGAGTGATGTAATGACTATCATAAGAATCAACAGAATCCACACCGGATAATTCAGAGTTGCGTGGCAGTGAGTGGGTGTGACGCCGCGCTGTTGCACCTCCTATGCCCGATGTGGAACTCTGCGAGTCCATTGATGGCGTGAGATAATTTTCGGAATGAGTTAGTTTACCACGCTCTACAGTTGTATAGCGTTTAGTTCCGAACCCAGTTCCGAAATATGAGGACGACGAATCAGAAGGATGATTCAAGTCATTGTGATATTGATAATGGAGACTCGAAAACCCACGATCAGTTTCAAAGTGTCCATTATGTTGTTGCATATCTGTTACACACATTTGCTTGGCTCTCGCGTACTGTAATATGGATTCGTCAATAAACTCATCACTAAAATGTTTTTCCCGCGTTTTTACTTTAGTTTTGCGATTTACGGTAGCATAAATATCGTTACGATCATTAAGATTTAAATTTTCGGAATTGGATATTTTATTTTCGAGTTTGGGTGTGGAGCTCAGAAATTCAGGATATTTATAATGACCAATATCGTTTATGTCTGTGTATATGATATTGTCTGTCTCGGTTTCGGTTGAGTTATTATTATTAAGTAAGCACTGTTTAGACATCGAATAATTGGTACTGCTATAATGGACTGGGGTGACAGTTTGAGATTGGGACTCCTGTGACAGAAGCTGCTGATGAAGGGCAGGGCCCGGCGCCGCTGATACCATACTCTCCCGATTGGTGGTAGATGCTGTCAAGTCCGAATCCACTTCCTCCTCTACTAATTCCTCCAGTTCCTGCTCCTCCTCCTCCTCCTCCAAATCCTCCTCCTGTTCCAACTCCATAGAGCTGCTGAGATCCACCGATAGACCCACTGTGTTGGTTGTGATAGTGTTGATGGTGTTGCTGTTGCTGTTGTGCATGAGCTGCGGCGACGCAGGGACATACGCTTGGGATGCCACTGAGACTCGACGAGGGGTGCTGCTGCTGTATAAGTGGGACAAATGGCTCAGACCTGTGCCGGAAAATGTTAATTCGTTCCATTGTGAAGCATAACAAAATGTTAAGGGATATTTGGTTAGCCATTTCATTGTTTTAAAATTGCTGCAGTCATATTAATACGAACCGAAAATCACTAAATTAATCTCCATGCACAAAACACTTCTTCACTCATAATATATACGAGTATACATATATACATTTATAAAATGAGGAGGTCAATGTAACGTAATATAATAAAACGTAAAGAAAACGATTATCGGATATTTAAAACCAGAAATAAATGCCGTGAAGAATGAACGACCAAGAAATCCTAATAAAATAAATTATGTTATAAATCAATGTTATAAACTCAATCAACTGATCATATGGGATCTGTAATGGGCTCTCAGTTGTTTTAATAAAATATTGACTGTTATTGTTGTTGTAGTGGCTTGCTCAATTCCACCTGGAACCAAGCAAAAATTAGTCATGTCGTTGGGGTAATCTAACGGGAGGTCCATTAAACGTGTTGTTTCGACAGGTGCGGACCAAAGGGAGCGAGGTGTTTGATGAGCATGTTTAGTGAGCATGCAAAAGTATGTATATTACGAGAACCGATATACCTAGGTATTGGTTCTGCTGCCATTAGATGCTACTGTAGAGACCGTTCTTCGTCTTCGCTGACGAAATCACTTGCATCGCTTCGCCTTTGTTTAGGTATTCTGTACAAGCAATGCAGAAGAAAACGCGAAAACTCTGTGCGCGGAAATTTTCTGTTTTGGGAAATTTATTTCTGAAATTATGGTTTTTCACGATGGCATTAAATGGAATACCAATGTTACCTTATCGTCATTTCCACTGATGATGAGATATTCAACATAAGGCCCATTGCTTGCACAGCTTAATTTGAAGGAAAGTTGTTTCTTTCAGTAAAGGGTGAATAAGACACATCGATAGGTTTTCTCAGGGTGGTTTTTTGGGAGACTTGTAGCTTTTAGTGCAGAATTAACGACAGCCGGCCGATTGCCGATTGCCTTAAATATTTCCTTATCGTTCGCCCAGGTCCTGCCGACTAACTATTTAGAAAATTTGTTGCAACTCTGTACTTTTGTAGCATTCGCTACGACTGCGAGTGAAGGAGTAATAGAAGTTTAGTTGAAATTGTCATGCGGCAAAGAAGTTGGAAAAGTAAAAGAAATAGCAGTCTACTTTCGTACAATTACCAATATACCGCCAGATGACAGTATTAGTCGATCAGATCGATTGGTAGATATTTTTACGAAAAATTAGCAACTATTAACATTGTTGGCAGTCATCTTCGTTACTTATTTAACAGTCGGACAATTAATTTTCGAAGACACATTCCCTTCCTTTTTGAACGTTCCAGTTGTATACAAAAATAAGATCATTGAAAAAATGGCTTTAATTATGGCGGAATTAAAAAGAGAGTAATGTAATATTTTTGTCTTCTGGTTCGCAACTAACAAATATACATTGTATATAAATCTCTATAAATTTGTAAGATCTTACTTTCAAAAAGACATGTGAATGAAAATGTATCTTATGCTTTAATAAAATGTTTTTTTTTTAGAATCCGTAGTAGTTCGGTATATCATTTCGTTTATTCTATCATCGTTATATTTTCGTAAACTTGCAAAGTATATTTATTAAATTCTTATTTAGTGTTGCCTGTAGAGAGAAATAAAGAATTACATAACCTGCTTAAAATTTTCTTTTAGTTGCGTAAACACTTTGCGGTCTTATCAGTTCGCCGCGAATTCGTCCAAGAGGAATTCGAAAATGGCTCTAGTAAGATTGATTTTTTAAAGTTGTTATTTAAATTTCCAACATGCAAATATCAAGCAAATCAGACTATAAATGCGAAATTTTAGAATAGATCTCTCCCAGCTCTACATCGTGGAAATAAAGTTTATCCACATAATAACCTGGGTAATTAGCAAACTATATTCCAAATTTCTGCAAATTTAATCAAAAGGGCTTATATGTATATATACGTATATACTTTTTTAATCTGGACAAAAAGCTATATATGTTCCAAATATCGGGAGCGAAATACGATTTTCTCGAATAGATTAAGAATCGATTCTCTTCGGCTGACTGCATGTCCCTACGATTAGCTATTTGGGCTGTGCATTGATCCCTTAGTCATTTAGGGCAATGCCATGTATACACAGATACATTAAAATATTCATTGATTATGAAAATGAATATATTTCATAAACTCATTTTGCACAACTTTTTTTAATAAAGTGATTTTAGGTTTTGATAGAAGAACACCGCTATTCTCATTCCAGATCCTTTTCCCAGAATAATTATTGGCTTATCTTTCGACGGCTATTTGTTTATACATTTGTATGTATGTAGAACTTTATAACTAATTAAATTATCTTAATATAACCGAAGTGTAAGAAACAATGCAAATGAAGACGAGGTAAATTATTTTATCGGGTTAACTTAATACTTCAAGAAAAATAAAATTTTAGAGAAGTTTTGACTAAAAGTAAATTTAGGTTTTTCTTAAATTAAAAAAAAAAAAATCTACAACTGAGAAATGTTTTTATCATCAAAGTATAGAATTTTAAACTTACCTAAACTGTGATCTCCTGGATGCGCACGAGCCTGATCTTGGGCGCGCATACTGTTGTGCTGCTGACTGCTGTGATTGGGTGAACTCCACGACCCCGGACCCTGCGGAGAGACAGAGCGGTTCGAATTCATTTGGTCCATAGCCACTGCCGAGGGGCGTTCCTGGTCCTCCGCCAATGTTGGCGATTCCGGAGCATAGTTCTTCGTCTGATAGATCTCCACCTGGGCTGCTGTGACCTATGAAAGTACAATTTGTTAATGAAAACTAAATTTTAATTATTAAAAGTGTATAATTCACTTGAGAACGCGTGTGGTCTATAGGATTGTCTTGTCGGCGATCCAAGGTATCCGCTGCCTTCTTCGTCAGAGAAAGCGTCGTCGAGCCGGTGCATTGATTGCGATAATCCCAGTCCGCTTTATGATACAACAGAAGTGATTGGGAAGGAGAAATCAAAATAATATCACAAATACATATATATATATATATTTTTTTATTTTGAACTTATGTGTGCTAATTAAAGTACTAAAACTATATACTAATAGCAAATATAATATATAATACTATTGAACAAACTAATAAAAATACTAAAATGAGGAACATAAAATTGTAAAACAATACAAACCAGTGTCAATTGGGAGAAGGGGATTGGCTGAAATGCTGGAGTTCACATAGGTATGCGACTGACTTCGACTACTAGCATTCAATGGCCCTTGCCGGAATGACTGTGACCTGCAGCAAAAGAAAAGACAAGAGGATACCACGTTTTTATTTGCATGCTCGTTTAAATTTTTTAGTTTATTTGGATTCTTATTTATTTTCAACTTGTTGATTTTCAATTTTTATTTCTTTTGTATGATTTTAGCAGTAAGCTTTATCTTTTCTATTTTATGAAAATTTCTACACAACGTACGAAATTTCAAAATCATAACAAATAGTTAATAATAAATAATAACGACAAAAGTAATTAAATAAATCAAACTAACTTAAGGGAAATACTGTAAATAAAACGCAAAAATAATTATTTATTTCTATACTACTAACAAATTATGTATTTGTTAAGCAACTTTTAGGTTTATCATTGTTTATTTCTTACAAGAACGTGTAAATTATTTAACCAACAAAAACTCTCTTCATTATTTATGTATTCTACTGTTAGCTACTACAAATGATTTCAGGACCGCGTAACTCAGGTAAATGTCGACACTAAGGAGTCTGGCAGCAGTCAAAAATTACCGGGAAACTGCATTAATATTTATAACAGCTTTATAAAAAAATATATAATGAATATAGTCCAAATAGATTTACAACAATTAATTGCGAGTTTACGTTTTTGTACACCTATTCCCTGCATCCAAGGAATATAGTGTATAGGAGGACTCCGGAAGGCAGTCTGGGAGTAGAAGGGATTGCAAATAATGGGTGCCAGGTCACATGGGCATCGAAGGCAATGGAGATAACTAAAGAACCGGCTAAAGAGGGTGTCTTGTTATATTACGACCAAACCATGGACCTACCAGTCCAATTGGGAAAGATGAAACACGTACAAGAAGTATTAGTAGGACCATATAGAAGACATTACCTCTTGTTAAGAGGACAACAAATTAAGGGAATGTATATAGACAGTGAAACACGTAATCTTTGAGTAACAGTTTGACAGATTCCATGCTTGCTTGGAATAAGAAAACTGCAGGATTTTCTATCAGATTTAAATAAAAGTTCAAAACGAATACTTCAATTTGCAAAGCAAACAATAATGTTCTTCGAGCTAGCTCAAAAACAAACAAAGAGTGTAGCACTGCAGTTTCGGTTTGATCGTATTTTGTGTGCCTGGCAACACTGTAAACGTTGTATCGTCTGAAAGAGACTCATAAGAGTCAACCAGTTCAATCTATTTAATCTCATATTGAAGCAAAACGATTGTTTGTGAACATTATGATATAGTTGTCCTATTTCAATGAGCGCTGTAGGAGCTGAGGCAAGTTTCATCAGAGCTCCTCCTTTAATTTGTGGTTTTGCGTTTTGATGTTTTTTCCAACAAATGGAAGGACCTACAGTTTATACCAAGCCGCCTCCGATCTGCTGATGGTTTTTTATGAGGAGCTTTTATTTTATGTCAGAAATACACTCGATGGTGTTGAAATTCCTGTTGAGGAACGACCACAACTAAAAAATTCAACTTAATTTTTCATTTAATTAATGGCAGTACGCAATGCTAACTATTCTGCTACCGCAGTATAGAATACCAAAATTCATGTTCTCATATGCTTTATTGAAATATTTGTATCCCGAAATTGCATATCTGAACAAATCAGTTGTTTGGGGGATATATATTAAAGAGTTCCAATTTGGTTAATTTGGTTGATATATCTCAAAAACTTAGGGCCTGGATTTGGGCTCAACAGAATGATATGGCTAAATCAACTTAGCGCGCCATTCTGGTCATATTGGTATGTAAAACTTTGATGGGTCTCTCTGTTCTCTTTTTGGTACTTAAAACCAAAACCAAAACGAATATACCATTCCAGTTTATGGAAGATGTAAAAAATATAATACTGTTGTATAAAACAAATATATAGAAGAACGAAAAATCTATTATTTGAATTGATAATTGATAACCAACGTATATTTGTGTATCTTTTGTAGGCCCAACTAACGAAGTGTGTCCTGAAGGTGAGAAGACAATCCATACACCAAATTACGGAAGTGGAAATTCCGTTATATTTTTAGACTCGCGCCAGGTATTTTTCAAGTTTGTTTATACATAAAGAATAATTTTCGATTTAAAATTTCAGATAAACCAAATGTTACAGTTTTTTTTTTTCAGAAAAAAAATTAAATCTTGTTCCTGATAATTATTACTTTTTTGTCCTTAAATATTTGTTTTAATTTATTTAAGAAAAAATACTTCCATCTAGCAATTCAACTGCAAATCTACCAAATTTAAATATTTCGTTATTATTCTGCAAAATATAAAACAAAAAACCTGTTTACCTAAAATTATTTCTTTAACAAAGTAACTAATATAATTTCAATGAAAAACTGTTCACTTTATACGACTATTACTACTTATATATGTATAGACATTTGAAAACGAGCTTAGAAAATCCTATGTTTGATTACAATATTATGAAATGTCAAGAAGAAATTATGTGAACAATTTATTTACATAAATATAAATATAATTATAAAACATTTATCGATTTATTCACGTGCAATATTTAGTTAAAATAACATTTTCAAGTGATAATATAATTTGTCATTTAGAGAGATATTGGAAATAAGAAAATATTAGCTGGAGTAAAAAGAAATCCATAATTTTTCCAATAGATAGGGTTATTTATCTGTATCTCGCATTGTATAATTCCGATCGGGTTCCGCTAGCGTTAGAAAGATGACTTTTCGTACTAAAAAAAATTTGTCTGATAGTTCTGTGATTGGTTGTTTCAGTTTTGTTTGAGCGTCCGTCAAAGATGGACCCTAACAAACGATACACTATATTTTACAGTTTTTCTCCGATAAGGGCGAAAACGCAAGCCATGCGGCTTAAAATGTGAATAGCGTTTATGGTCCTTATACTGGTAATTTTGATGCAAAAGATGCTTCACGGAGTGGAAGGCCAATTGTCGAAAATGTCGTCAAAATCATGGACATTGACGAGTCCGACCATCAAAACTCGATATCGCTAATTGCCTTGAGCCATAAAAAACTACGGATAAACTATCATCATAACGTAAGTGCTAAAAAAAAGTACAACAAAGCTAATAAGAGTTTTCGACAGTGAAAGTTAGTGAGAATTAACTAGCAACGAGATTCAGAGAGTAAAAGAACAAGAAGATTTAGTAAAAGTAAATAACCTGAAAGCTGTATATGGTTTTGCCATTTGCATTTCAATCTGCTGTTTTCTATATGTACAGTTTATTGTTTTTATATTTATACCGCTCATTAACATTAACACTTAGGTCCGAGTAAGTCCGTCTGTTTGAACGCAAATTAGTTTCTCACTTTTTAAGATATTTCAATAGTTTGATTTACTCTAAATTTGGCACATGGGTAGATTTTCGTTTAGATTAACATATACCAAAGGAAGTGTGTTTTAAAAATAGCATTTAGGGTCCTATTTGCTTGAAGTTCGTTTCTTCCCGGGAAGTAAGCCGGAAACCGTCCATTTGGTAAAACTGTTTTTATGGTTCGGTTTCCTTGAACCTTCGTTAGAAAGGCATATAAATTCTTTTTCTTGGCTCACCAAGAAATAGCACTACTTGCTTCAACTGTTTTTCAAGTTGGTACATCTGTCGTAAAAACACATGTTACAGGTCTTTATGGCAATTCATTCTTTGTTTACGAGCCATTTGAAGGTGTCAGAGTAAAAAATTGGATATCGCGCAGTGATAGATTCTTTGTTTTGAAAGTTTTATGTTAGAACGAAGGACGACAAAAACCGCACCGCAGCAGAAAGGTAAAACAATCAATTGTGAATATTATTGCAAAAGAAAATAATTTTTCATTAAGACAATGCACCAGCTCACAAAGGTGTTCTAACGACGTATTCACCAGATTTGGCCACCAGCGACTACTACCTCTGCAGAAACCTGAAACCATTCCTTCGTGTAAAGTGTTTTCTCGTCGAATTAAGAAGCTATTGCAAGTATTTACAGATCTTAACGAGAGTCATTACAGGGATGTCATAAAATTATTGGATGATCATTGTATGATTGTGTATTGAAGTTAAGTGAGATTATATTGAATAAAAAATTATATTTCGTACAAAAATCAGCATCTTTTAACTTCGAGCGCAGAAACATACATATAATACTTTTCTTTCCTGGAAATTGACTAGGTACTAGGGACAGAGTTGCTTGAAATAAGTTACAAAGGGACATTTTTCCCGAGTGTACCATGTTCGTATAAGTTAATGAAATAATAGGCGGCGCACCTCGAATAAATCGTATTAAAATTTTACTTAATCTGAAGTTCGCTGAATCCGCTAGTACATTCTAATTCTATTATTATTATATAATATTTCTGACGAAAATGCAATCATATGTTCACAAATTATATGTTTTTTCCTTTCTTGGTAACACTTTCAGAAAATTTCTAAGCACGAATTTTGAACTTGCCCTCCAAACTATCGTACAAATTGGTAAGAACATGCAGCACGGCGGAAATATTCATAGGGGAACCAGAATGGATTTTCTTTTTAGCATTTCGATAATTATATATATGAAAATTCTACAAATACACTAGATAATTCCTTGGTAACAACATAAGAATAACATAGACATTCTTTAATTATTAAAATGGAAACCAAAAAATATTTAGAAGCGTTTTCGTGCTAAAAACAAAGTCAAACAACTTTTTTATTATGCATAAAATCAGAATACAAAATACAAGCTCGCATACAACAAAACTAATTCTACGTTCATGAAATTTTGCTAACAATACATATATGCACGTACAAACAAATTACAAAAATCTCATAAAGGTGTTTACGCCTGCGTTGATTAACGTTGATTATGACTACATTAGTTATAATTTTAACTCAGTTTTCATGAAAATAAAATTCTCAAAGTAAAAATAAATTAATCTACTAACCAGCACAAGTAAACACCGCAAAAAATATAATTTGTAGCTTTTGTCTCAATTACTCAATAAGAAGTATATGGAGGAAATCGTTACAATTCGAATACCAATTGAGTAATTGATTCATTTAGATATTTATAAACATCCGTATATAGTTTATGACGATGATAAAAATTGCTATTAATTTATTGTTTATAAAAGCTAAATAATTATGGCAAATCCAAATTATATTCAATAAAATTGCAATACATTTAATTGGTAAAAGCAACAAACTTTCATAGAAAACAAAAAAATTAATTTTGCGATATGATGAAGGTGATGTAAAGTTTGAGAAACTTTGGAAACTAAAATAAATATGCGCTGTATCTAGTTTGCCAATCAACATACAAATACAAAATACGAGAAATATACAATTTAGATTACTCAGAATACAAAAAATTGTGTAATCCAGAAAACATATATAAACAAAAAAATAAAATAAAAAAAATAGAAACTAAAATTTTTATTGATTTTTTAATTATGTAGTAATTTTTTCAAGTATTTATTATATTTTACAACCAATTCGTTTTAAGATCCTCTTCTCCTTTCTAAGCCTTCTGCAAACATTCAACTTTACAGTACAACATCTCTTTAGCTGATCGAAAGAATGAATATTTATATAAATTTTGAGTTATTCGTAAGAGTGAAACACAAATAAATATTTAGCCGAGTTCATGTTTCGTGGACATTTTCGTGTATACGAGTCGCAATTACACATATGGATGACGGAAAAATAAAAATTTATTTGAACCAAAAGAGGCTGAAGTAAAGCAAAATATGAATATGTTTTATGAATTAACATAATTGAATTTAACTAAATCATATTGAATACAAGTGATAGGTATTTTTATTAAATTTTTTAAGCAAACTAAACACACTTAGAAATGATTACAGTAGATTAGCACTCAGAGTTTACAAAAGCTTCCTATTGTAATACCCTTCGTACTTTTATATAAAATGCAATTATATTTATTTGGTCACATTCTTAAATTTCTAACCGAAATTATTTTCAAATTTCAATGACTTGAGTGATCACAGACTGGTCTTTATACAATTATGTCATATAAATCAAAGTGTATTAATGACAAAGTTCGCCAGATGGTGTGTACCATTTAGTAATTACCAGGTCGTAGCAATAGAACTTCCTTTTTTTAAATTACATTACGTTTTGCTGGCAATAATAATAAAACTTAACAAAAAATGTTTTTATTGTGCTATCACTTGATAACGAATTGATGTTATCCCCGAAAATTTATATTTACACTTAATTTCCGAAGCACTATATTTGTTATTTACATGCCAATGCAATTTCTCGCAGTTCTTGAATACTGAAGATTTTAGATTTGGGAAAAGTTAAAAGGATAACTCAGCGGAGTGAGTACATGGAAACAGCTGGTAATCTAATACACATTTTATATTATTTGGTTTTATTTTTTTTTTTTGTTTTGTCAATATCGAAAAAGGTGTAAAACGATATTAAGCTGTCCTGTCATACTTTATCATTAACACACTTTGCTATAAATTAAAAGTTTTTTGTTTTGAACAACAGAGGTTTGCTGTGATCGTCATTTATTCAGAAAAAAAATAAGCTTTAAGTGAATATTAAAATAAAATTATATACCTTATGTTACACTTACCTTTGGAAGTTCTGCCGTTTCACATAGTTTTCACGAACAAATTCGATTATCTGTTTTTGTGTCTTTCCACTATAGCTGCAAAAGGAAAAAATATATAATTTAGTAATAATAATAATTAACACTTGTGCATATAACAAACCGGAATGAACTTCCCCGGGATAAAACACGCGCCTTCCGTCTAGGTTGATTCTGCACAGCAGCACAGCGGAAGAATCCATGATTCTCGACGCATTTCTTCCAAAAGTTCTTACACTCATTACGCCCCTCAAAAAAGAACTCAACTGTGTCTTTGTAATAACCCTAAATGTATTAAAGAAGACACATCAGTTAACTGAAAAACCACTTTATTCGTTTCACTTACATATCCTTCGGGATGTAGCTTCACTAGAAAACGCTTTCGCTTAAATGAAATTTTACGTATTTTTGCCCAGGAGAAAGTATTAATGCGTGTGATATTTTGGAAAACAGCAATACCCATGTGAGCAACAGCTAAATTGAGTGGCACACCTTCAACATCCTTTGCAGGATGCATTTTCATTCCATACAATTCACACCGTCTAGCCGTCTCCAAAAGATTCAAATCGGCCTCAGCAGGAGATTGGCCACTGTGGATAAAAGAAAACAAATACACATAAATTTGTATGTAACATACTCGTATGTTTATAAAATGATGAATGAGTAAAATAATTCATCTCTTAGAAAGAAAACCCGAATGATCAGTTTTCATATGTGAGCAATCCGACTTCACGGTATATAATTTGTTACTGAGCTTTTATTTCATGAGGGGTTAACAATCTCTGCCGAAGGGCGACCGCAATTAGAGTATTTAACTAAAGTTTTAATTTAAATTAATTTTCTATAACTTTTGGACCTGATATTTTTGCACTTTGTTATTGAATAAAATGATATCTGCAGTAAGTGGGGCTCAAAATGATCTATAGAACGTTACTGAAATTATATTCTCAAAAGCAGTGAAAATAGACGTGTTTGCAAATCTATATTTTAGGTGTGAAACCCCTGCGGGTTAGGGGCTCAAGAATTTACCCGCGACAGTCGAGTCTTTATACCGGAACGACCCGAATTTTTATCCGGCCAAGGACTGTCACTCCCGCAACATTCCTTAAAAAGTACTTTCGGGAATAATTTGCGGTTACAACAACAACAACAACACAATTAGGTAATGAGGCGGATTCCATAGAAACCATATATTTCAAAATTTTTTACAACTCTGCCATCCCCTTCAGAGCAGTCACCTTGGGAGGGTGTACAACGATTCCAGCGCATTTTCCATGCTTCGCAACATTTCTGGAGCGCTTCGACTGGGATGTCCTCCGCGACTCAGAATGGGTCAAGGGGACCCGATTTTTTTCTAGGGAAAAAAACAAAAACACTGTGTTACATATCGGGTGAATAAGGCGGTTGTTGCAACAGGGCCATCCCTTTAGAGGCCAAATACCGAGACACGCTGAGGGCGGTATGGAACGGTGCGTTGTCGTGATGAAGGGTCCATTTACGTCGGTCTTCAAGGATTAGAGCGCGCACACGCCCCTCCTTAAACTCTTTATGCCATCGAAACACCTGGGAACAACTAAGAGTACTATTACCATTCACTTTTACAAGTTTAGCGTACGTTTGCCAAGCTCTACATACCCGGGTATCGTGCAGTGTGAGCAGCAGTCAAATTTTTTATTAAAAGTGCTCAAAAAAGCTCGAATCGCTAAAGCTCGTGCTCGAATATTTTCTAGCAATAAGCAATGAACGAATATGTGAGCTCTAGTTTGAACGGTGAATTTGCGAAATTAAATTTCTGGTGGGTCTAATAGTTAAATTCTTATTTTAATTTTATTTCTATTCGCAGTCGGGTGTCCTGGTGGTGTTAAGGTGTGTTCCTCGATACAAACACAAAAAACATTTATGCGTTTAGCTATCGGTATGGTTCCTCGAATCTGGCTGCAGCTACAATACAAAAAGTTTTTCCTGTTATTCTTGAAGTGGGTAACGTATTTTATGAAAAATTGTTCTCATTAATTCATTATAAGGTGAATTCACAAAATAATTCAAAAAAGCCCAAATCTTTAAATTATAAAAACTCAAAGTGAAATTATAGGTAAAGAGAAAAATCGGTCAACGAGTATAAGTTTAAAGCAGTAAAATCGTCATATTTATGACCCCAATAAAAAGGCAATGTTATAGCAGAAACAAAAAAATTATTTTGAACTGCAACTTTTTAACTAATTGAAGCTCACCATATTTCTCTATTCTTTTGTTGTAACCTAATATTGCGAAAAATATCTGCAGAAATTATGGTTAAATTAATTTTTTTACTGGCATTAAGTTGGATTGGTATTGAAAAGTAAGAATAATGCAATTAGTTAGGTTAGGTTTACTTCTCATGAGGCAAATTATCATAGATTTTATTAATGTCTCTTATATAAAATCGGATCCATGTCCTCATTATAAATGTTGTCTTGATACAACCTTTCAAATGTGTCTTAATTTTTCAAGATATACAAACGAGCATTTAAACGCAGTTTCTTGCACTGGAAATAGTCTTGAAATCCAAAATAAAAGTAAACTTAAGCTAATAAAATAAAAATAAAATCTCCGAAATTACACATTCAAGTAATTAATTTGCAATTAAGTTGCCGCAGTAATAGTTAAATATGATTTATTTTATCGATGAATTGTCGATGTCGCAAAATGTCCTTTGTCATGCTTCTGAGCGATCATTTAATAATTTTTTTATTTTGGTCAATGGAAGCTCCTATCTGCTATTATATTAAGAAATTAAAATTCCTCATATTAAACCCTTGTACCACTGTACATTCTATCTATTTAAACAATAACTTCTGGCTGAACCAATACAAAATAACCTTTACATCATAAATGCTTTATAATAAGTTGATTGTACTTACACGTGCTTTTTGTGATTTTCCATTATTTTGCGCTGCATTGTAGCATCCTGATGAGGCACAAAGCGATATGATGACAAATATGTGTGATCAGGATAATCTTCAGGCACATAATCGCCACACGATGCTTGCACTATGTAACTGGCCATGAGAGCTGCGGTGTTGTCGTTGCACTGCAAATTGCCATTGGCCAAGTCTCGTTTAATTTGCAAACAGAATAGATACCTACAAAGATAGTTGATTGGTGAATGTTGGTTAGAACAAAGCGGTCATATACAAACTCGAATAAATATGTGTGTAAGTACATAGGTATCTATGCACGTATCTTACGTACGTCAATAATTCAATTATTGACATTAAACACATGCTGCAAGTTAATATGGTTTTTACTGCACACATAGCATACCGATTACATACATATTCAATTTTAGTAAAACTCACCTCGTATACTCTTCCTCAAGCTGCGCCGGATCCGGAGTGTAAAATTTAACGCAGAAACGCAGCACTGGATCGATAAGCGACAGACCAACTTGCCGATTTAACGGTTTCTCAAGGTCTAGCCAATATTTGGTGTGTGTAGATATTTCCTGATACTCTAAACCAAAGTAATCGGCCTCAAGCAAATTCAGTTGACGACAAACCTGGTCGAAAAGCACACGCCCAAGTGCTTTTGCCTGTTTTTTAGCCAACAGTCAATTCAAACGTTGATGTTGTCATTGATGTGGTTGTTGTTGTTATTGTTGTTATCGAACAGGTGTGAAAGAGAAAATGCAAGTAAAGAAGAAGGGAGTTAAAATATAAATCATCTTTCATGTCTTAAAGTATTTATAAGTTAATATAAATTTTTCCCAAGTGGCTGCAGAATTAATAACAAAGCAGAAAGATAAATTATGGCTGAAATACAACACATAAAGATAGATTTACAATAGACTACCATTTACAATAAACAAGTATAGCGCATCAATAAGATATAGGCAAGGGAAGCAATAAGCTGTTACAGTTGCAGGCATATTATCAATTCCCGCCTCAGGAAAAGATAAGGACGTAGTAAATGGAGATGAACTCCTGCCACGATGCCAAAATTGTACGATTACGTCAGTGTGACACAACAATCGAAAAATTCAGCCCCTTACACGAATACTTCTCGAAGATTACCCTAACATATTTCGATTTGCATATGCTTGTTATATTGTTATTTATAGCACTAGATTCGAACTCAAGCAGCATCATCAAGCTCCTTGGTTACCATCAGCTAGAAAACTTCGCTAATAGATAGGCAGCAAACATGTCTCGAGTGTTTAGAGAGTGCTTATTGTCTAAGATCTAAAAACGACTTTCAACACAATGTGGACGAAGCTAAGATATGCACCTTCAGATTGGGGCGTAGAGATTCAACAAACCAACGAAAATTTGGACGCCTTTAAGTTGTAACCACAACGGATAGCCAATCAAACTATGGTCTACTCCGTAGGGTGGCATCTGAAGACCCCTTTGCACCGCTGCCAAAGAGAAATTTATATTCGACACATCAAAGAAAGTGCTCGTATGAAGAAGAGGGATACTTCATGTAGACGCACATCATGTAAAGCCACACACATTACTTTTTATTCGACAAGTATTTAACTAAATCAAGATAAATTTGCCTTTTTGATTACCTCTTCGTTACTTTTCAGATACAATAAACAAATTTATATATTAAAAATGTATAATAAATTTGTGCGCAATAGGTTCAATTCATATCCTCTAATACACGGTGTGTCCCAAAAATAACCGAACTTTTTGGATATAAAATAAAATACACATTATTTTATCTTTGAAAATTATTATTTATTCAAAATAGGTTCCATTTGACTCAACACAACGTTTGGAACGATCAAAGAGCGCATGCATAGATTTTTTATGTCATTTATAGAAATGTTCTTCAGTACCTCGGTTACGGCTGCTTGAATGGCTGGGATATCATCATAAAATGCTCCCTTCATCTTGGTTTTCAGTTTTGGAAATAAAAAATAGTAACATGGTGATTGATCAGGCGAATACGAAAGATGGTCGATGAGAGAAATCCCTTTTTTCATTAAAAATTCGAGCGATTTTTTGGTCGTCATTTAATTCATGTGGAACCCTAATCTTCAGTTAAAATTCTAAAAATAGTGTTTTTACTTGTATTCAATTCCACATTCTCGTAGTAAAATTTGCATCGATACCAATGATTTCACGGACTTTTTCCATCAGTTCAGCGCGATTACTAGTTTCTGGACGTCCTGCTCTGAGGTCGTCATTTAAATCCTCACGACCATTTTTAAATCGTGTAAACCACGTATAAACTTGCGTGCAACTCATACAATCATCCCAATAAACTTTTATCATTTATTTTTTTCAAGTTTGACACCAAATTTTATTTTTGCTCTTTGTTCCATTTTATTTTTAAACAATTAGCACACTTTTGATTTTATTGAAATGGCTGTCACTTTTACATCTGTCATCCGACTTACATGATGTTAGGTGCGTTTGAAAGAGGGTGAGTGTATCTTTTTAATGTTGCAAATTTTCAATAGATGGCGCTGTATGTTGTATGATTTAAATATAAAGTTCGGTTATTTTTTGGACCTCCGTATATATCGAGGTTTGTGTCCCTGAGTTAATAAATTTTAAATCCCTGTCGCGCGTCGTGGTGGTTTTTCCGCAAATAGAGGGACATATAATTTTCTCCAATACGCCTTTGAACGGTTCATAGATTTTTATTGGGAGGTTTATATTTCATGATATAAATAAACTGTGAAGAGGTAGATGTTACCGGAAATTCTATCATACAATTTGGATGATGATAAAGCCAAGACTCGAGCCTATTACCTTCTGCATGATAGCATGTGCTGATAAGCACTCGACTTTCGTTAAAAAAAACTCGTGTAAATATATTTACTAATGTAAAATAATAAATGGTTGTAAGCACTAAACTGAATAGATTTTCTTCAGCAGTTCGCCGCTGTCTTCATAGTGGTAACCATCGACTTCGGCAAAAAAAGAGGCTTTTCTTAACATTTTCACATAAGACTAATTAGGCAAACTTCCGAGTGAATAGCAATGCAATTCGACTGCTGGGTTCCAGCCTTGGAAGAAGCGAAGTATAGATCCCACCTAAAAATGTATTATTTTCAAGCCAGTTCCGTTGACGGGGCACTGCTTTCTCGGAAAATGTCCCTTTAAAAAGCCTTTCTAAGTTAAACTCTGCATGCGATAATAATCTCGCAGCGTGCATAATGCACTTGACAAAACGATAAGGTCTTTATAGCGATACTACAAGTGCAATAAGAAAAAAAGGCAGTAATTTTTTGCTATAATTTGCATGTATGTATATTCATATATTATATCATAATCAGTTCAATGTCTGATTTCGGTACTCAACGATGAAATAGGTACCTAAGGAGAACTAGTTTGTGGTGATTGTTTTGCATAAGTAAGGTCTAAAGTTGATGGCAGGAAGATAAGTGATTCGAATGTATGCAGCCGTAGAAGCTAATCACAGAAATGCCCTTCGATCAGATTAATATTAAGACTTATGCGAGATTTTCTCCACATATAAGTGTATTATTTTTACAGAAGAGAAATTTTTCAATGTTGGCGAAATATATATTAATAAGAAAACTGAATTAATAAAAACTTCCAAAGGTAAATAAAATGTTAATCCACCTGTGGTAATGGTTCGGGATGAGACTCCTATAAAGGCGTTACACCTCTTTAGTTCTTTGAAAAAGGGGTGAAAACTGGGACAAAAGAATACCAGCAGGATATTTTAACAAACATAACCCCATTTGAAACTCGCTCGAATTGCAGAAAAACACTTTCTTCGAACAGCTAACAGTAAACAAGCCCCAGTACCACTTGAAGCGCATCATTTTTCGCCAGAAGAGCAATATGTGTTATAAATTTTCATTAGGCATAGTAAATTTGTATGCTAAAAATATTTAAAAAAATATATTATTTTCTATTTAAGCCAAATAAAACTGTAAATGTGCCAACATATAAATCTACACAACTCTATTATTAGAAAAATAATAAACAAAATTTATGCAGAAATCTTAAAAGTATACTTTTAGGGTTTATAGAGTGCTCTCACGAGATAAAGAGTTTCGTATTATCTTATCTTTGGTTTTAGAAGATGTGGTAAAGAAATTAACCAATACTCTGTTCGATGGAGAGCATTGAATCTTCAATCGCAACTGCTGACTATGGGATTCATTTGGAACATGTATGGTACATCCATTTTTAAAAGAGCTATTTTATTTTTATTTTAATTTTTGTTCGTGTGGTATTCCTGACCTTTTAATACTATATCTCAAAGGTGAAACAAAGAAGAGAAGGAGTTTTCGAAGTAAATCGATATATTTCAAATGAACTTAAGAAATTACAAAATTTAAAAGATTTCTCTATGATCGTTGTTTTATGAGCAAAGCTTCCACTAATTTTCCTCTAATTTTTGCTATGCGCCTTGATTTTTACCAAATAGTGGAGGGGCCTACAATATATTCTAAGCCACCTCCGAACGGCCGATGGATTTTTATTTGGAGGTTAGAATTAAATGTCAGAAATACACCCGGAGGACTTGGCATTCTCTGCCGAGGGGCAAATCGGTCGAATCAGGACTCGAGCTGCAGCTAAAACAGAATAGTACAAAGAAAAAGTGCTGTGCCATACATATACAAGTCTTTTCATGAACATATTATTATTTTTTATTAATTATCCGATCTGAAAAAGCTGGGTAGGGAGCTATATGTTATAGTGGTCATATTTCGACCAACGTTTAATTTATTATATGAGTGTAGAGTGCATATTTTCATATACTCAGATGCTTTATTGCAGTATTTATTTATGTATTTATATTCCGAAATGACAGCCAATATGATGCACCTATGTAAAAAATAGTACAGTAAGTTGTATTCAAAAATTAAATAAATTTCCCAAAAAAAACATGAATGCTAATAGCGGCGGATATATGTATACATTTCATTTATGCTTTAAAATATATTTATTTATATTTTATGTAATTAACAAAAAACAAACTTCACTATTAAATTGTGCCTCACGGCAAAAATGATGCAGTAACAAAAAAATTATTAAATTTCATTTTTTTAAGAACAAAACTTAATTGAATGTTAGTTGATATTTATTAAGATATCTTGCCGTGTATGACTGCTTTTATACGCCTGGGCATGGATTCCACTAACGTCTTCGTGTTATCATGAACAATATTGTTCCATTCTGTTTGTAGGGCTTTTTTTAGTCGGCTTCATTTCAAATCTCATATTTTTGAATCTCTCGTTCCAAAACTGACCACAGATTCTCAATCACATTCCAATCTGGAGACTGCACTGGGATATGTACTATGTGCGGACAGCTTCAAATAAGTCAACTTTGCACAACGTCTGATTTGTGTTTCGGATTATTATCTTGATAGCACCGAAACTTGTTACGAATATTTAATTTTGAGACACTTTGCAACAAAGTTTTTTTTAAATGTCCAAATTCACAGTATTATCCACAGTACTATTGATGAAATCCAAATTTCTAACTCCAGAAGACGACTTGCACCCACATACCATTACATGCCCTCCTTCATGCTTTGCAGTACTACGTAAATTTTGCGGTTGTAAACCAGAATTTGATTTTCTACGTAGCT